TCCGCTAGCAAAATCCAAACCACAACGCAAGCCTGGTAGTGTGGATAAAGACAGATTTTCCCCATGAGGGTGTTGGAATACTTTTTAATTAAAATTGTAGGCACAGATACATAAATGAACTGTATATACCCGTCAACATAATTCTTAAAATCGCAGACACATATCACCTAAATTTCAGAAAGGAACAAAATGGCACATACTACTGCTCTACTCAATACTCCCTGCTAAGGTGAGCCAGAGTCCGGTGTTAGAAACTTACCATCACATTCATACTTCTGGATAGTGATGAGCACTAGATGTGATCAGGAGGAGGATGGAGCCCATGATGGCAATGCCAGCTTCATAAGGAAGAGGAAAGAGAGAGAAAGCCAGCATCTGTCTACTGTATGTGTTTTTTTCTGCTATGCTGTAGAGGCAAGAAGGCCCTTACAAGTCACTAAGCATACCCAGTACCATGATCTTAGACTTCTAAGCCTCTTAAAGAATAAACCAAAACGTCTTTCCCCTGTTACATAACAGAAAAGAGACCAAGACACCTCCAAAGTTGCTACCGTTGTAAAACACAGCAGTCCCTTCTCAATAGTGGCTTCACATCTGCGGTTTCATAACCCAGTTAGCTGTAAGCTGGAGTCAGGTGGAAAGGTCCCCAAATACACAATTCCAAAGTTACAAACTCACAGCTTCAAGTAGTGAGATGAAATCTACTCTCCTTTCCATCAGACGGTACGTGATCCCTGTCTGCCACACCCACACTGTGTGCTACCTGCTTGTGCACCAGGAGCTGCTATCTTAGTCACTAGACTGTTTCAGTGTGGCTGTTGACTTAATGCTTATTTTATTTAACAATGTCTCCAAAGTTGAAGCGTAGTGATGCAGTGATGCTAACAATGTGAACATACAAAAAACAAACACACAAAATAACAAAAGCAAAACAAAAGGAAAATGCTTTAAGTCACACATGAAAGCCCTCAATTTCAGGGCGTGGGCAGGGTAAAGAAGTGGTATGCTGATGTTCCTGAGGTCCAGGGTAAGAACAAATTGTGCTGACTTCGCTAGTAGGCCTCAAACCACAAGCAATGACTTCAGCACTAAGTCTGTAGTTAAGATGGAAGGGAGTTGGCTTCAGTGAGGAGCATAGTGTGCTCTGACTGATGGTGAGGCAGTACACTAGGAAGCTGAGCTGCTGAGCCTCACTGTTGGTCACCATGGAGACACTGTACCATCTCATGCCACCACAATGATGGTAAGAACAGAAAGATGATCTGAGAGAGACCATATCCACAGAGCGCTCACTAGTGTACCCGGCCACAACTGTTCGATTATTTTATTATTGCCGTTGTTACTCTCCTGATATACCTAGTTTATACTGGATGATAGAGCAGGTATGTATAGAAACAAACTATACATACAAGGTCTGGCATTACTCACACTGTTAGGAATCTGTTGGAAGGCTTGGAGTCCAAACCATACATGGAAAAAGGAGGGTGTGAGTGGGCAGCTACTGCATGGTATACATGTACATAAATTTTAAATTTCACACAGCCATACACTGCAATGGGCATGGCTTTACATCTCACTTCATACTGTTGGCAATCATTCTACATCAGTACATTTAATATGGAAAGCATAATTACCTCCTCCTATCTGTAGATGTCTAGGAAGTGATAAGTTCCTAGAAAAATTTCTTAGTTAACAAGTATTTATATTCCTCCCTGTAACGAGTATGGTTTTTCCGCCTGCCGCTTGGTCTTGTCCTGCTGCTGTGCCAGCCCCAAATAATGCACAGAGACTCTGTATTAGATATTATACTGTTGGCCAGGTACTAGTTTCTTATTGGCTAGCTTTGTCTTAAGTATTAACCCATTTCTGCTGATCTATGTATTTTTACATGGCCTTCTCTTACCGGGGAGGCGGCTGGCGTCCAGCTCTCTCCAGACTCTCCATGCTGACTCCTCCTTACTACTTCCTATTTCCTCCTTGTCTCCTAGTCCCTCCTATCTTCCTTTCCTATTGGCCAACAGTGCTTTATTATTAACCAGTATGAGAAACATACAGAATGACCTCTCCCATCACCTCCCCTATTGCCTCTTTCCCACCACTTGTCTTAACCTTCGTATTGCCTACGTAACTATTTAGGACACTAAGGCAGAGAGGACAATCTGAAAAGTCTCCCACTAGGACCTAGTAACAAGAATAACCAAGAGGCCTCTTTGTGAGATAAGCCGAAGACCTCTAAGTGAGATCCCAAGAACAGTGGACAAGTAATAGAAAATTCTACTCTCCAGCAAAAGGAGAGAACAAAGAAAACTTACCTCAGTTTGGGGAGTGGGGAGAGAGGAGTGTAGGAAGAAATTTCTGGAATGACAGTCACGTAGTAGTCACAGGGATTAGGTTAAGGGCCTGAGACTGTAGCTCAGTGGCACAGCCCCTGCACGGATGGGTGAGGGCATGGACTGATCCTCCTGCCCCAATGCCACCACACATATGATTAAGATCCACACATTTCAGTAAACTCTACTGCACCAAAAGGAAGAATGCTAATGAGCTCTAGCTAATAAGGCTGAAACACACGTCAGTGTAACGATGCCTGTAGTGAAACGTCCAAGAACGAGGGATGAAAAAGTGGGTAGACGTGGTTGGTTTGTCAACCTGACACAAATCTAGACAAATCTGGGAAGAGGGAATCTTAACTGAGAAAATGCCTCCATAAGATTGCCCTGTAGGCACGTCTCTGAAGCTCTTGATTAATGACTGATGTGGAAGTGTCTAACCCTCTATGGTGGTACCATCCCTGGGCAGGTGGTCCTAAAGGGGCATAAATAAGGAAGCAGGCTACACAAGCCATGAGGAGCAAGCCAGGGCCTTCGCTTCAGCTCTTGCCTCTAGTTCTCGCCCTGACTTCCTTTCATGATGGACTGTGTATGCAATATAACCCCCTTTCCTCTTTTCCTCCAGGTTGCTTTTGGTCATGATGTTTAACACCACAATGGAAACCCAACTAAGACAGTTACTGCGCAATTAAATTCACTCAGCGACCTAATATATAGATGTAAGAGCTGAGGCAGTTAACATGGTAGGAAGCAGCAGATATTCCCAAGGGGGGTGGCAGAAACTCTTGGGTGACAGTAGCATCCTTTCTTCTGGACAGTGGTTCACTGTCCAGCATGCACCTGGAACCCCAGCCTCCAGAGTCTGAGGCAGCCTGGGCTGAACAAGACCCTGCCTCAAAAAATAAAAAGCTATTATCAGACAAACCTGGAAAGTGCATGATAAAAGTTCAAGTTTTTTCTCAGTCAGGGCCTTGCTCTGCTGCCCTGTGTGGCCCGGGACTTGTGGTCAGCCCACCCTATTTCAGTCTCCTGAGCACGGGGTGACAATGCACCACTATGCTTGACTCACCTTCTACAGGCCCGCACTAAGGAAGTCTAAAAGGGGGGGGGGGGGGGAAGGACCCTAAAAGAACTTTTTTTTTTTGAGTGAACATAAAAACCAGTTTTGTAGACACATTAAAATTACCCCCTCTCACTCACAAAGAAAATGCTGCAGTCAGAAAGATGCAGTTACAGCTGTAAATGAGATCTGAAGCCAGAGTATTTTGGTTCCAGAGAAAAAACAGAAATCAGGAATATGTTTCTGCCATGGTTATATTCACAAACTACAAGGTGTAAAATCATACAGGATGTTTGTAATACAAGCTCAACATATTAAATGTGTTCAGTATAATTCAACAGCTTCAATCAAACTGTGCTGTAACCACTGGAGACAAAACACTACAAGACCAGCCTCACATCTGTGTAATTTCACAAGCAAACATTAGGACAGAAGGAAGAGTTTGGAGAGGTCCATAACCAAAATGAAGGTACTGAACCCAGTGACACAGCAGACAATCTTCCCCACTTCCTTATCCAGAGGCACTCAGAGCCACAAGAACTAATCTGGGATGACAGCCCCAAACGGTTCCTTCACAGCACAACACGCAACCCTAAAGTTAAGCAGAGTACGCCAAATTCTCAGTGTATCAGTTTCAGAGTACACAAATCTCACAGTCGACAAAAGTAAGCAACTGCTTTACCTTGGAAACCAATCATGAACAAAGAGAATCAGTCTCACTAATGTTATGTCTCAAAAACACAAACTAAATGAATAATGCCATTGTGTAATTACAGAACATCTTTTGAAATGGTGGAAGTTTTACCGAATAAAACTGGAATTAGAGTAATTCTGGATTCCAATTTTTCAATTTGTGGAACAGTAAACTGGAAAGGGACACTATAGCTTAACCTATCTCCTCTGTCCCCAGATCTTAAAGAAGAGGCTAAGGGTACACGGTAATGTGCCTGCAGTCCCAACTACATGGGAGGCTAGATGGGCAATCTCCTGAGTAAGAACTGAGACCAGTTTAGGCAATCATTGAAATCTATCTACAAAGCTAAAGGGGAGTCCGTCCCTCCGGGCTTTTGACTTTAGGCCAAGGTACAAAGTGGGTGAGTGAGGGGAGGAATTGATTTAACCAAAGGAACTTACTTAGCTTTTACCATCCTTTTAAGGTTTGAATTTAAGCCCCCCAAAAACTTCCATGATTGGCTAGTTCTCAGAGAAAACTTCAAAACACTATTACTCAAAGCTGGGTTCTCAGCCAAGAACATTGTTGATCACCATTAGAAATGCATGCTATCAAATTCCAACCCAGCTGTAAGCATTACTAGGGCATTATCAGAAATGTATGCCATCAAATTCCAACTTACTGAGATTAAATCACAAGTACATTTACTGGTTCTATATGCTCATTAACATCTGAGCATTTTCAAAGGACAGCAAGATAACTCATCACATTCCCAAATCTTCACTAGTTGGAAGGACATGCAAACATCAGTTTGTCTTGTCATCCAGTAACCGATTATAGAGCACACTTCTGTTAACAATGCTCTAAAGCAAACTAAATCCTGGAGCTTATTCCCCATCAAATTAGAACAGCTACGTAGTAAAAATGAGAGACCTACCTATGATCAAAAACCGTTGAGTTCTCTTTCCTCTTGCTGAATCCATTGGGTAGAAGCTTCAAGAAAATACCTTGCTTTCGGGCACGATTTTTCATAAAGAACAGCTAGCAACAAAGTCAAACATAAGTTAATTTCAGAATGCCTTACAATTTATAATTGTACAAAGTCAAACACAAGTTAATTCCAGAATGCCTTACAGTTTATAATCGTACAAAATGGTATTAAAAACACCTGCTTTTACGTGTGTTACTCCATCTGGGTGGCCTACTAAGCTCAAGGAGGTAACTTTAGAGCCTTGAAGGAAGCATCCTCCACTGAGCCTTCCCCTGAGCTAAGGAAGAGAAAGATCCTTCAAAGGAAGGGTAAATCAAGTCTTCTGGTTAGATGGATAGGAATCTAAAACTTGTGACGCCAAGTTGCAAGTCATAAGTCCACAGACAAGGCCTAGCAATCACCAGCCAAGTAAGAAAATGACAACAAGTTTTGTCATTATGTAGTTTTTTGTAAGTCAGCAGACTTTGGTTTTAGTAATGGGAGTAGCTACAAAAATGAACTCTACCACTGAAAACAGCCAGGCCAGGAGGAGGGAAATGTATACATAAAGATACACATATTACAAACTACATTATGAGCTGGCAAAATCCCCCAAATTATCATACTTGTTCAAGACAGAACACAGCTGTGACACAAAAGACTTACCAAATCTAAGATGGGGAAGTAGAAAGGAAAAAGAGACCACACAAACACCATGTCAAGCACTGATACAGTTTTATTAGTATTGGGCAAAGGAGACAGAAAGCTCTATCACAGTGGCTCTCACCTTCCTACTGCTGAGACCCTTCAATACATAATGTCATTTCTGTTGTTACTTCCTATCTGTAGTTCTGCTACTGTTATGAAACGTAATGTGAAATCTCTGCTTCCATATGGTCACAAAGGGGTCAGGACCCGCAGGTTGAGAAACACTGGCTTAGAAAAAGAGAAGGCAACCCTATAAAGTCAAGTAAGAAATAATTCCTGATGTATGTAGTACTTTAAAATATCCAAGCAAAAACTAACCAAGGCAGGGGTCAAAAAGTCCTATTGCATTCTCTCACTAGGAATACTGTTAGTGAGAAGGACTAGGAATGGTTTAGATAAAACACTCATAAACCTGAGCTCACAGGAACATACTCTTGTTCCCTAGAACCAGTGAGGGACACCAGGCTTTGCAGATGCTCAAGTCCCTTACATAAATGGTGTAATACTTGCATATGACATCTGCACATGTCTATGTTAACTAATCTCCTATGCACGCCCAACATTAGGTAGTTAATAGTTAAAAGGGAATGTAGGGAATAATGGTAAGAAAAAGAAAAAGGGTTGTGGCTGGTCAGTCTAGATTGAACCAACCATGATGGTTGAATCTGTTTCCACAGGCACACATAGACAGACAAGGTCCAAATGTTTACAATGAGTCTCTATTTCTTGCAAACAAATAGGCCGCATGCTGAGTAAAGCAGACTACAATAAATGGTAGAGTACAGCAGCGATGCAAAAATAAATAAATAAATAAATAAATAAATAAATAAATAAATGATCAATGAGACGGAGTAGACAGGCTAGAAACTGATCTAAGCACATATGGCTGCCTGATTTATGATACAGGTAACCCTGGGAGAAACAGGAAAAGATGGACTTCCCAGGAAATGGTGCTATGAAGAGGGATTAGCTAAATGGGAAATTAAAAGGCATTTTCGCTTCCGATGACACTAACGGTCAAATTCAAGAAAATATAAAATGTGAAATGTAATGCTGTGAAGTTTCCAGAAAACAACTATCTCTATAACTTCAAGGTAGAAAATGGTAGGTTCAAAGCAGGGCCACCCAAATGGCAGTGCTGCTGACCATATATAGGAAAGGTTTCCTATAAACACGTAAGGCTACTAACTACAAAGGAAATAAGCAAAAGACAAAGCTTACCCTGAAATTAAGATGTTTGTTCACCAGGAGTAAAAAGACAAGCCATACCAGATAGGTTGTAACGTACGATTGAGTACTGACCAGTATCTAAAAACCACAAAGTCTTCTAATAAACCATTAAAGACAAAGACAGCTCAGCAGGCTGAAGGTGCCTCGGTGGGTAAAGTTTACTGCATAAGCAGGAAGAACTAAGTTTGAAATCACAGAACCTGCACTAAGCTTGGTGTGGTCGAAAAAACCTACCATCCCAGTCTCCTCTGGAGAGAGGGGAGCCAGGAGAGGAGGTAAAGAGAGGACTAGCACCAGAGGCTGCCCTCTGACCGCCACACATGTACCATGGCATGTGTCTGCCCACACTGACTCACAGACAAAGGTAACAGGAAACAAGAAGATGAACAAAAGATGTTTCTTCTCAAGAGAAGTGAACTGTAAAATTAAAACCCAATATAATCCTATACCAATCAGATTAAAAACCAAAACCAAAACCAAAAAACTAAAACCTGGACCAAATATGGACATAAATGGCAAGAATGAAAATTGAAAAAGAAAAAAAGTGAAAATCAGTAATGATATGCTGGGCAGTGGTAGCACACACCTTTAATCCCAGCACTCAGGAGTTAGAGGCAGAGGCAGTCAGATCTCTGTGAGTTTAGGCCAGGCTGGTGAGTAAGTTTCAGGACAGCCAGGAACTCTGTCTTGAATCTTGCCCCACCCCCTCAAAAAGAAAAAAGATAACTGGTAATATGTTCTACTAACATCCAACCAAACTAAGACATAAACACAGCACAACAAAGCAATTCCATGTTTAAGAATAAACCCTAAAAAAGTACATGCAGATAGACCACAATTTAAAACCAAAAATATTCCCAACAGCATTGTTTCACAAAGGGTTTTGTTGTTGTTTTGGTTATTACTGAAAATGGAGTCACCAACAAGAGAATGAGCAAAGGTTTCTTTCCTTCCTTCTTTCTTTCTGTTTTCGCTTTTCTCCATGTAGCCCTGGCTGTCCTGGAACTCACTCTTATATACCAGGCTGGGCCTCAAACTCAGAGATCCGCCTGCCTCTGCCTCCCCAGTGCTGGGATTAAAGGCGTGCGGCACCACGCCTGGCTCAAAGGTGTCAAGGAGCACCAGTGAGGCCAGGGGAGCTCCTGCCCCAGGCCCAGTGACAGCTACATGGGCTGTCACTACAGCACTAACCGTTATACTGCATACATGGGCTGTCACTACAGCACTAACCGTTATACTGCATACATGGACTGTCACTACAGCACTAACCATTATACTGCATACATGGACTGTCACTACAGCACTAACCGTTATACTGCATACATGGACTGTCACTACAGCACTAACCGTTATACTGCATACATGGACTGTCACTACAGCACTAACCGTTATACTGCATACATGGACTGTCACTACAGCACTAACCGTTATACTGCATACATGGACTGTCACTACAGCACTAACCGTTATACTGCATACATGGGCTGTCACTACAGCACTAACCGTTATACTGCATACATGGACTGTCACTACAGCACTAACCGTTATACTGCATACATGGACTGTCACTACAGCACTAACCGTTATACTGCATACATGGGCTGTCACTACAGCACTAACCGTTATACTGCATACATGGACTGTCACTACAGCACTAACCGTTATACTGCATACATGTGCTGTCATTACAGCACTAACCGTTATACTGCATACATGGACTGTCATTACAGCACTAACCGTTATACTGCATACATGGACTGTCACTACAGCACTAACCGTTATACTGCATACATGGACTGTCACTACAGCACTAACCGTTATACTGCATACATGGGCTGTCACTACAGCACTAACCGTTATACTGCATACATGGGCTGTCACTACAGCACTAACCGTTATACTGCATACATGGACTGTCACTACAGCACTAACCGTTATACTGCATACATGGGCTGTCACTACAGCACTAACCGTTATACTGCATACATGGGCTGTCACTACAGCACTAACCGTTATACTGCATACATGGACTGTCACTACAGCACTAACCGTTATACTGCATACATGGACTGTCATTACAGCACTAACCGTTATACTGCATACATGGGCTGTCACTACAGCACTAACCGTTATACTGCATACATGGACTGTCACTACAGCACTAACCGTTATACTGCATACATGGGCTGTCACTACAGCACTAACCGTTATACTGCATACATGGGCTGTCACTACAGCACTAACCGTTATACTGCATACATGGACTGTCACTACAGCACTAACCGTTATACTGCATACATGGGCTGTCACTACAGCACTAACCGTTATACTGCATACATGGACTGTCACTACAGCACTAACCGTTACACTGCATATCCACCTCATGTGTGTGTGTTTTAACCGTAAACAGACTTTAGTGATGTTTAATTTAACCTGAGTAGTAGTAATGCCATGGTGACTGTCCACACGTGTGTGAAAGGTATTGAAGTCCTCACTTCTACACTAAAACGGTCTGATTCAGTCACAGTATTCATGAAATTCTCAGGTCCATGTATCTCACATGTGTAAACTTTAATTTTCCTCCCGTTTGAGGGAAGCAAGAACATGAAGACTAAGTGTGTCTCAAGACACAAGGTCCCTGTTAACTATCTTGTCAAAACTGGAATCACATCACCTTCCAGTTATTTCTAACCGCACACCCAAGCCACCACCATCTCTGACACGGTGGCACACATCCTTGACACTGTCCTTCATGCTTCAGAATTACACTGTGGTTCCCTGACCCCAACCAAGCAGCAAAAGTGATCCTTAAAAAAAGAAAAGAAGATGTGTATGAGTGTCTGTGCACAGTGTATGTGCCTGGTGCCTGGGCCAGAAAACAGCATTGAAGCCTCTGGCACTGGAATCACAGTGCACTGTACATGTCCGTCTAGCCCACAGTCCTCTGCAAGATCACAGCTGACTAACTGCTGAGCCAGCTCTGCAGGCTAAGAGAGCTCTTTTAAAGACCAAACACGCTCAACTCTTCCCTTGCTGTGTTGTTCTTGTTTGTTTTTTTGAGACAGGATTTCTGTGCTTCCTTAGCTTTCCTCACTCTGTAGACCAGCCAGGCCTCAGAAATGTGCCTGTCTCTGCCTCCTGAATGCTGGGATTAAAGGCGTGCACCTCTACCTCCAGGCTTTTATCCCAGCACTCCGAGGTAGAGGCAGGCGGATCTCTGTGACAGACTCCAAAAGCTACAGAGAAGTCCTATCTGGGCATAAACAAAGAAGCCCTCATATTCCCCTGCATGGCCTGCACTCTTGCCTCTTGCCGCTCTGAGTGTATAAAGATCTCAGCCCAGCCAGCCTCCCTTGGTCTCAGGGTTACTTAGAATGCTTGGAACTCTACAGATTTCCCTAACCTCCGTCAGCCTCCCTACCCAGTATGCCCCAGTTACCCTGCTCCTTGTAACCCTCCAAACATGCACATTAGTTCCCAACCTGCATCTTTTTGAGTCAAAGTCTTGCTAAGTGCTGGGTCACAAGCTTGTCCCAGTTGTCTATGTTTCTACCCAAGAGTTTTCCTCCAATGACTCCTACGGTCTCTTTCACACCATGAAGATCACTGCCTAACCCGTCCCTCCCAGAAATGCTCATCTCTATCACCGTGTTGACAATCATATCCCGAAGCTCATGCCCCTCACAGACTACTTTGTTCTCTTTACTCTTCTGACCTGCACTTAAATCTGTAAGAAATTATATCCTTGTTCTACACATCCAGACTCCTCCACTTAACTAAGTCCCCACTACACAACAAACCCCTCAGGGTAAGGACTTTGGATCTATCTTGAATAATTAGGACAGTCCCAGGTCAGGGTGGCCACTTGACAGAGCTGAGAAATAAATAAACTGACTGGAAGAAATCTTAACTTGAAAAGATCAGGAGAAATACTTACATATTTTTTGCGCTTTGGTCTTTTCAAGAAAGTATCTCTTGAAACCTGGTCTGCAGTTCTTGCCACGTCTTCTAAAAATCGATAGTCTTGCAATTTCAGAGAGGAAAAATTAACAAGTGACATACGCCAGTGGCCAGGAAGCATTCAGGTGTGCTATGTACAACCTGACTTACCACTTAGGAGATTCATCTCCGTAAACCGCTGCAGTGAGATATAAGCGGTTTTATCTCGGACTCCGTTACAGGTCAGTTCGGTTTTGTGTTTCTTTACACAGGGCAAACTGCAGAAACAAGCAGAAGGCAGTTTTGTATCTGAAGTGAGTGGGGAGAGAGGTCAGAAATAAGGTAAAAAGTCACACATCTACCTGCAGGAATATCTCATGCAGCGCGGACATCTGTACTTTGCCTCTTCTGTCCCGCAAGTTTCACACCTGCAAAAGTTCACCTGTGACTTAATACTCAAAAATTAACTCCACTTATGAACTTACAATCTTTGAATGCTGAATCACCCCGGACATTTACACCTTATATGCAGGTAGTCAAAGCAAATAAAGCATAGGTCCAAAATCTAATAAAATCTTTTATAGCTGTCACTGAAAATTGTGAAAAATGTTTGCAAATGACATTTACAGTGAAAGGCAATTCAAGAAACCAATATACATATGAAAAAAATCGTCTCATTTTGATTTATTTTTCTACTGTAATTAGAAATAACATGAACTGGTGATTTTTGAAATTTGTAATTCACAGAGATTTTTTGTGTGTGTGTGTCTAAAAGCTGCATTTGGATATCTTAAAAGCATTCACACCAGCAAAACAAGATAGGAAGAGACCGCAGACAAACTTCATGGTAATATATGCCCTCTCCGAAAGTCCACATCCAGTTTAGGATGGACATCAAGAAAACCCAGAATGACTCATCTGTTCTCAACCAAAGCCCATGGAGTAGAATTCGGTTCCGTCAGCCCGAGCTGTGTGACACCGAATCAGATCACCTTCCACGGGAGCACTGCATCCAGAAACAAACATTCACAGGGGCCACGAAAAAGTTCAAGAGGAAGATAAGTGGCTGTCTCCTAACCCCGCCCACTTTTTCATTGTTGGTTTTCATCTGATGTCCCCTGATTTCCTATTTCCTTCAACACGCACAAGTTCTGCACAATGGCTTCAAAGCTACCAGGGTCTGGTTCCGCAAATGTCTCCGATCCCCAGAATTTTCACCCCTAACCTGACCATGCCACGATGGGCCGGGCCACTCCACAGTGTCCCGGAACCTGCTACCGAACACCTCCCTTCACACCTCGGGGACCCACCCACTTCACGCCTGGCTTAAAGCACCGCGCGCGCGCACGGTCCCCCGCGGTTCCTCCCTGCCCTACCTTGACATAGCCAGTTTCCTCTTGCAGCCCACTCGGGGATTCACCTGCGGCTCCTCCTTCACCCGCGCGCCCGCCGTCGCCTCGCTCTTGAGGCGGTCCGGCGCGGTGACCGGCAGTCCCTCCTCCAGCGGCTCCTCCTTCACGCTCTGAGCAACAGGCCACTCCCGCTTTACGTCCTCCTCGTCCTCGTCCTTCACCTTCTCCTCCTTCACTGCCGGCTCCTCCACGGCCTCCTGCTTCACCCGCACGCCCGCTTCCTCGGGCTTCACCTCGGGCCCGCCCGCCGCCTCCTGCTTGACCCAGCCGCAGCCCGCGGCGCCACCGTCCGCGTCCGACCAGTCCACCGCCTCCTGCTTCACCGCAGCCAGGTCCACCTTTATCTCCGCCGCATCCTCCGCGCTCGCCGCCGCGGCGCCCCGCTCCGCCCCATCGCCGGCCCCGGGGCTCCGGCTCCCGCCCAGCTCCCGGGCTCCGTCCCCGGTCCCCGGCCGCGCTCCCTCCGCCTCCGCCTCCGCCGCACACTCCATCAGCTCAGAGCCGAGGCCGAAGCTGCCACGCCGCCCTCCAGCAAGAAGACGGATGCAGGCGAGCCACCGACAGCGCCGCACGTGTGCAAGCCTGCACGCCCGCCGCGCAGCAAAGCAGCGCCCCCGCGCCACGACTCTTCACGACTCCAGGAGTCCTTTACGGCTCCCGGCTCTGCAGACCACGCCCCAGGCTGCAAAACTGGTGTCCTGGGTACCGAAAGGATAGGCTCCGAAGATCACGACCTGCTTTGATATGTGCCAAGTGTTGTTCTTTTGCAATATGTGCCAAGTGTTGTTCTTTTGCTATAATTATTGCCTATGAAACACAAACACGAGAGGAAAGCCTCGCTCCTCCAAAGTTTAGACTATGAAGCCAGCGACTCTCAACCTCCCTGACCCTTTAATGCGGTTCATGTTGCAGACATCCCTCCCCCCATTATAAAGTGATTTTTGTTGCTACTGCGTAACTGTAGTTTTGCTACTGTTACTAGTCTAAATGTAAATGTTTTTGGAGATAGATGCTTGCCAAAGGGGTCGCCAACCACAGGTTGAGAGCCACTTGTCTAAGCTGCTTATCCACATATACACCAGCCACCGAGGTATTAGAACCGGCTTTATGCATGGGTGGTGGGGGGTGCATGCCTTTAATTCCAGCACACGGGAGGCAGAGGCATCTGAGTTTGAGGCCAGCCTAGTCTACAACAAGAGTTCCAGTATAGCCAGGGCTACACAGAGAAACCCTGTCTTAAGAACTCAAAACCAACCAACCAGCCAAAAGTAAAACCGCCTTTAATCACAGCATTTACTCACTAGAGGCAGGCAGGAGGATCTCTTGCGGCTCAAAGGCCAGCCCAGCCTACATAGTAAGTTCCAGGTCAGCCAGGCCGCACAGTGAGGCCCTGTTTCAGAAACAAACAGAAAGGAAGAAAGGGAGGGAAGGGGGTGGGGTGGGGGAGATATACTCTCATCCACTCCCATGAAGATTTCATGAAACCATACATGGGAATCACTTACTACTACCAGCACCTGAAACTGCCTGTTGCCTGTCACAGGCTAATAATAACTCCTCAAATCCATATGATGAAGCCCTTACTTAATCTCCAATACATCACAATTTTGACATTATTTTGAAGACAAGGCCCTTAAAAATCACACTGGTTAAAATGAAGTCATTATAATGGGCCCTAATCCTATCTGATTGGTGCATTTAATAAGAAGTTTGCGTACAAATAGGGTGAAGGCACAGAGGAGCCCAGGAATGTGGTGAGAAGTAAGCCTTCTGTTTGCTAACCCAAGTAGCCTGAGGAAACTTCTGAACCCTTGGCCTTGGACTTCTATAGCTTCTTGAACTTGGAGTAAATAAAAACTCATCCAGTTTGTGCCATCATGTGTTGCTCCAGTACATTGACACCCTGGCCAATGATGATGAAGAACTGGGACATGCTGTTGTGTGACTGGGGAAGAAGTAAATAAATGTCTACTCACCCCAGACAGGGACCAACAACAGACCAAAGTAAGGATTCCAAGCAAGTCCAGCTTGTGAGTACATTGGGGTTATTCACAGACATTTAATCCTTAGTCCTATAACACAGTTTTATTCTAATTGATGGCAAAACAATACTGTGTGTGTATACCAGGTTTTCTTTATTTGTTAGTCTACTGTCAGACAGCTAGGCTGATGCCATATCACAGCTGCTGTGAATGGTGTTTCAATCAGACTTCCTTCCTTTTGCCCCTCTTTCCCTCCCTCCCTTCTCTCCCTCACTCCCTGCCTCTCCCTCCCGCCCCCTCTCTCCTGCCCTCCCTCCCTCCTTCTCTTCCTTCCCTCCTTCCTTTATTTACCTCCCTTTTCTTTTTTGAGACAGGATCTCTTTATATAGTCCTAGAAATGGAACTTCCTGGACTGTTGCTGTCCCGGAACTTGATAGGTAGAATGGGCTGACCTTGAACTCACAGAGATCTACCCGTCTCTGGAGTACAGGAATTAAAGGCATGGGCCAACACACTGAGCTTTTTATATTTATTTATTTTGGTTTTTCAAGACAGATTTTTCTCTGTAGCGCTAGCTGTCCTGTAACTCTCTCTGTATGCCACACTGGCCTCACACTCAGAAATCTGCCTCTGCCACCATGCCCAGCAGAAATGGGCAGGTTTCTGTGTAGTGTGAGGACTTAGAGTCCTTCAGGTATATACTCTGGAAGGGAACTACTGTTGGAGAAGAGGGTAGCTTTAGTCTTCTAAGGAAGCTCTGTAATGATTTCCACGACGGCACACTGATTTACATCCATACCAACAGTAGCTAAGGGGTCCTTTTCTCTCAGTATCCTCATCAGCACTTGTCTGATGTTGTGATGGCAGCCATTCTAACGGGGAAAGATGGAATCTTAATGCACTTTGATTTGGAATCTTCTGCTGGCTATGGATTTCACCTATTTTTTCATTAATTTTTTATTTTCATTTTACATATCGATCTAAGTTCCCTCTCCCCCCTCCCTCCCTCTTTCCCTCTCTCCCACTCTCACATACATGCGGACCACCCTCACCTCCCATCCCCCCCACTCCACATGTAGGATGCCCTCCAGGAGGGGTCATCTAAATCTGTCAAGTCATTTGGAGTAGGGACTAGGACTTGTCTCCTGTTCCTAGGTTAAGGCAGTTATTCCTCCATGGGGGATGTGCCCATAAGGTCCTTTTGTGCACCAGGAATACATCTTGGTTCCACTGTCTGAGGTCCCTTAGACTGCTCAGTCCTTCTGGCTGGGACCCATGTTCAGGGGGTCTGAGTCAGTCCCATGCTGGATTCTCAGCTGTCAGTCTGGGGGCCCTTAGCTCCTCCTTGTTCAGGTCAGCTGTCTCTGTGGGTTTCTGCAGCCTGGTCTTGTCCTCCCTCTTTGCATCTGGATTCCAATTTGGCTCAGTGTTTAGCTGTGGGTGTCTGCTTCTGTTTCCATCAGCCACTAGAAGAGGGCTCCATGATGGTGGATAAGTTAGTGGTTGATCTCATTACCAGGGAAGGGCATTTATGGTAGCCTTTCCACGGTTGCTCAAATTGTTAGTTGGGGTCAGTCTTGTAGGTCTCTGGACATTTCTTTAGGTTCAGTTTTTCTCTTCAAACCTATAATGGCTCCCTCTTTTATGTTCTCTCTCTCTTCTCTCTCTCTCTTTCTCTCTTTCTCTCTCTCTCTCTCTCTCTCTCTCTCTCTCTCCTCTCTTCCTCTCCTCCTCTTTTCTTTCTCCTAGTTCCCTCTCTACTCAGTGCCCCTCCCCCACACTCCCCATATGCTCAGGAGATCTTGTTCCTTTCCCCTTCTGTGAGGGACCTTATATGAATCTCTTAGGTTCCTCCTTGTATCCTAGTTTCTCTGGTGGTGTGAATTATAGGCTGGTGATCCTTTGCTCTATGTCTCTTGTGTGGAACAATTTGAGGAGTATTGGTATTAGCTCTTCCTTGAATTTCTGGTAGAATTCTGCACTGAAGCCATCTGGCTCTGGGTTTTGTTTTTGTGTTTTTTTGTTTTTTGTTTTTGGTTGGAAGGCTTTTGATGATTGCTTCTATTTTATTAGAGGTTATAGGTCTATGTAAGTTGTTCGTCTATTCTTGATTTAATTTTGGTAAGTGATAGTTATCCAGAAATTTGTCCATTTCCTTTGAATTTTCAAATTTTGTGGAGTACAGATTTTCAAAGTATGACCTGAAAATTATCTGGATTTCCTCTGTGTCCTTTGTTATGTTCCCCTTTTCGTTTCTGATTTTGTTAATTTACATGTTTTCTCTCTGCTTTTTTTGTTAGTTTGGATAAAGGTTTGTCTATTTTGTTGATTTTCTCAAAAAAAAAAAAAAAAACTCTTTGTTGCATTGATTGTTTTGTATTGTTTTCCTGGTTTCTACTTTATTGACTTCAGCCCTCAAATTGATTATTTCCTGGCGTCTACTCCTCCTGGGTGAGTTTGCTTCTTTTTGTTCTAAGGCTTTCTAAGCTTGTGCTGTTAATTCTCTTATGTGACTACTCTGTTTTCTTCATATGGGCACTTAGTGCAATGAACTTCCCTTGTAACACTGCTTTCAAGTTCAGGAAAGTTGTGTCCTCATTCTCGTTGAATTTTAGAAAGTCCTTAATTTCTTTATTTCTTCTTTGACCCAGGTATGGTGCTATTGCCCATTGTTCAGTTTCCATGAATTTGTAGGGTTTCTGCGATTTGTATTGTTGTTGAATTCCAACTTTAAAGCATGGCGGTCTGATAATATACAGGGGATTATTCACAATTTTTTTTGTATCTATTGAGGTTTGTTATGTTGCCTAGTATGTGGTCGATTTTAGAGAAGGTTCCATGTGGAGCAAAGAAGAAGGTATATTCTTTTGTGTTTGGATGGAATGTTCTATAGATGTCTGTTAAACCCAATTGGAACATTACTTCTGTTAGTTCTTTTGTTTTTTTGTTAAGTTTCTAACTGTTGGTCCTGTCTAGCGGTTAGAGTGGGATGTTGACGTCTCCCACTATAAGTGTGTGAGGTTTATATGAGCTTTGAGTTTTAGTAGCGTTTCTTTCTTTTTTTTTCCTTTTTTTAAAATTTAATTTATTATTTTATATGTCGATCCCAGTTCCCTCTCCCTCCCTCCCAATAGTGTTTCTTTTATGATTGTGGGTACCTTTGTATTTGTGGCATAGATGTTCAGAATTGAGACTTTGTGCTGATGGATTTCTCCTGTGATGAATATGAAATGACTGTCTTCATCTCTTTTGATTAATTTTGGTTTGAAGTCTAACTTGTTAGCTATTAGGATAGCCACACCTGCTTGCTTCTTGAGTCCATTTGATTGGAAGATCTTTTCCCAGCCCTTTACCCCGAGGTAATATCTATCTTTGAAGCTTAGATATGTGTCTTGCATGCAGCAGAACGGTGGATTCTGTCTTCATATCCATTCTGTTACCCTGTGTCTTTTTATAGGTGAGTTAAGACCATTAATGTTGAGGGAGAGTAAGGATCATTGATTGTTAAT